ATCATCATCATCATCATCAGCAGCAGCAGCAGCAGCATCATCATCATCATCATCATCAACATCATCATCATCATCATCATCATCATCATCATCATCATCATCATCATCATCATCACCATCATCACCATCTTCGCCATCATCACCAGCATCATCATCATCATCATCATCATCATCACCATCATCTGCATCATCATCATCATCATCAGCAGCAGCAGCAGCATCAGCAGCAACAGCAACCGCAGCAGCATCATCATCATCATCGTCATCATCGTCATCATCATCATCATCGTCGTCGTCATACTCATCATCATCAGCAGCAGCATCATCATCATCGTCATCATCGTCATCATCATCAGCAGCATCAGCAGCATCATCATCATCATCACCAGCATCATCATCATCAGCAGCAGCAGCATCAGCATCATCAGCATCATCATCATCAGCAGCATCATCATCAGCATCAGCATCAGCATCATCATCAGCAGCATCATCATCGTCATCAACGGCATCCTCATCATCATCAACATCATCATCCTCAGCATCATCATCATCACCAGCATCATCATCAGCAGCAGTATCAGCATCAGCATCATCATCAGCATCATCAGCAGCATCATCATCATCATCAGCATCATCATCATCATCTTCATCATCATCATCATCATCAGCATCATCATCATCATCATCATCATCATCATCATCCCCCGCCTCCGTCTCATCCTTCTTCTCCTCCTCGACCCTTGCTCGTTCCTGGAACCATCGGCGGTTTCGATCGCCAGCTCGTTCCATATTGGCCGATCCTGGGCCATTAGCGGCGTTCAGCCTTGAACGCCCGCAGCGAGGCCGCCGACGCATCGGCACGACACGGACCTGCTTTACCTCACGTGCCGCCATGGGGGGCACGAGCCCCCCAGCCGCCCCAATAGGGCGCACCCCACGACGGGAAAACTTCACTCTGTACCGTTGTTCGTCCGACGGCCGAGGGCCAGGGGGCGCAGGAGCAACCAGGCGGACCCTCCGGAGGCCAAGGAAAGCTGGCGCCCCGTGCTGCTCCGCAGGCCGCTGGAGGGCCTGCCCACTTGCTGCCAGGGGCCCCCATGGCCCTCAGGGTGCTGGTGGCGCGCGCAAGGGGGCAGGGGGATAGGGGGGAAAGCTTCTTGGAAGGAGGCTGCTTCTCAGAAGGCGCGGGCCCTACATCTATAGGTAAGTCCCGCGCCTTCTAAGAAGTAGGGGTACTTCTAAGAAGCCCTCCCCCTCCCCCTATTAGAGGCCTCCTAGATGTGGTCCGAGTAGATGGGGTTGGAGGATCGCGCCGCATCGCCGATACATCGGTGATGCATCGTCGATGCATCGGCGATGCATCGGCGATGCACCGGCGATGCATTTTCGACGAAGGCGATGCGTTGGCGACGTCGACGTGAAGCAATCAGGCTCCACATCGAGCCGCATCCGAGATGCATCGGCGATGCGGCGCGATCCTCCGACCCCATCTACTCGGACCTCATCTGGGAGGTCAAAACCTATGCGCCCCTCTGCGCGTGGCTGGAAGGGCGGCCACCTGGCCAACCTCTCTACCCGCACTGATCCTGGCCAGGCCCGTCCCCCAGCCAAGGCTCGGCAGATGCGCCCCCGCCCGCTGGTGTGGCTGTGGCAGGGCGCGCGCGCCGATCCCGTGCCTGGGCGGGCGACGGCCTGGCCAGACCCAGACGTGCGATGCCCTGGATGTTTCAACACGGTGAGGGCATTAGACAAGGAACCCCGCACCACCACCTCCTCCTACTCCTCCTCCTCCTCCTCCTCCTCCTCCTCCTCCTCCTCCTCCTCCTCCTCCTCCTCCTCCTCCTCCTCCTCCTCCTCCTCCTCCTCCTCCTCATGAACCCAGGGCCTGGAAGCCGGTGGAACACCAAAGCTGAGACATGGCCATGAATACCCCCGACGCCCTCGTCAGGCAAGGAGTCCCCCAGGGTCTGGAGCATCCTGGGACCATTCCTGAACGAGAGCCCCCACGGTACGGGATCCCTGAGAGCCCCGACTCTTTCCCCAGGCCTGGTTTCTCATGCCGAGCCGTTTTTTGATGGTCCCAGAGCCCGGCGCGGGCCCCTGGACGCCGAAACCTGCCAAAGACCTCCGTCGGGTCCTTGTCCACCACGCGAGCATGTCTGGGGACGTGCGAGATGGACGGGACGGCGTCCCCCCTGGTCCTGGCCGGCTCCGCACTTCCTGGCCTCGGCGAGGCCCTGACGCATGCCGACGCGGCAGGCCTCGTCGAAAGTCCGCGGGAACTCCTCTCTGAAGGCCAGGGCGCCTGTCGGAGGCCAGCAGGGGGGCGGGCAGCTTCGGGGGGGCGCCGCGTCACGCCGCTGGCGTCGGGCCACGGGGGCTGGCAGCTTCGGGGGAGCGTCGGGGCAAGCTTCGGCAGCCTTTCCCTGGCGCTCCCCAGTGTGCCAGGCCCTCACTGTTGCCAGGACGGTTCTGCGTACGAGTGGGTCTGCGCATGGGTGTTTTGGAAGAATGCGCAGATATGACGGCGAATGGTTCTGGAAGATATGAGTATCGCTAGGCGAACCCGAGCATGAGTGCGTTTGCATATGAGTGTGCCTGAGTGTGATTGGGTCTGAGAAGGGATGGGTCTGAGTATTAGCGAGTATGCGTGCGAATGGGCCTGAGTATGAGTAAGTCTGAATACGGTAAAGTATGAGTGTGAGGGTCTGATTACGTGTGAGGCTGAGCATGAGTGAGTCTGAGGATGGGTGTGTCTGAATATGAATGATTCTAAGCACGGGTGAGCCTGAATACGATTGAGCGTGAGTACGAGTCTGAGTGTGAGTGACTCTCGGGTGAAAGGGAGAAGGCGGGAGGAGTGAAGTGGAGGGGTCTCACGAATAACAAGAAACCAGATTAAGGATATGAGAAGAAACTGCCTGAATGGCCCTGGCAATATAGGCGCGAACGGGCTCTGGCGTACCCCCTTGGCGGCTCCCCTCAGGATGCCCACATGCCATGCCTTCTAGATCCCGATGACCACGGGGCTTTGAGAACAGAAACAGGTACGCCCTCCCCCTTGATAAAACAAATATATGATTATATATAGATATACACACACGCACACAACTAGCGAATAATCCCACCCCATGCATCTGCGCGAAGCGCAGGGCGTGACCATGCGCGTAGCGCAGGGCGTGGCCCTGCCTTTCTGTATTGCGCGCCGCGGGGCAGTGTGGCGCGACGGCACCATGCGCCGAAGCTGGAGCTCTCTAAGGGTGTGCCGACATGTGTGCGGCATGCCAAAATAGGCACGGTCGTGTCATGCGGTCGCGACCACTGGAAAGCGCAGCTGGGGCTTCCTAAGGGGGCGCAGAACTTTTTTGATTCGCGGGTCCAGAGCGCACCTCTTCCGGTCGAAGCTAAGCGGGCCGCGCACAGGAAGGGGGCGCAGAACAGGTGAGGGTGTGCCGAAGTGTGCGCGGTGGTGCCCTGCAGCCGCGCCCACTGAGACCGTTGGTGGAGCTCCCTTTGCCACTAAACACGTGAAGGGTGTGCCTAATTGGGGGGCGGCACCACCATGCGGTCGCACCCACTGGGACCGCAGGTGGGGCTCACTATGGAGCCACGAAGCGTTTGAGGGGCGTGCCGAAGTGGAAGTGGTGGGCGCGCGGAGAAGAGAGGAAAGACAAGCTAGGTGCGCAAGCGTCTTGCCTGACGTCCTGCCCCTCCCTCCCATCCCTTACCATGCCGTAGATCTCCTCTCTATTCGCACAGTCGGATGTCGAGCAGGACAAGGATCCTGAGAGGCAACGAGATACATGGTAGTGCACGGCGTACCACGGCGTAGAAGACCACGGCAGATCGTCATCGGGTCGAGAACAAGACGACAGGTTCTGCGGGAAACCAGACACGACGCAGGACGGAAAATGCAAAAAGACGGTATGGAAACACTGGAAGCGAAAAATGAGAGCGATCGCTAGTCGAGAGCACGACTCGTTTAGGCAACACGTTCTTAGGGAAGCCAGACATGACGCAAGAGGAACAATGTAGAGGGACGGTTATAAACGAGCGGAAGCGTGACATGAGAGCCAATGCTGTAGAGAGAACACGATTTGCAAGATCCACAACAAAGAAATGAGGTCAGGGCAGCAGCGGGAGTATGATTTGGAAGGACCGAGAGCCAAAAACTGAAGCCAACGCAGCAGCGGCAGCGCCATGATGGAAACACCGAAGATGTTCGGAGTGAAAATAACAGATGTCTGGAAAACATTACGCGAAGGGGGGCAGGCTACGACCTCGGAGTCTTCGGGGGAGAAGGGAGAGTGTTTGTCATATTGCGTAATTACAGAGGAGGAGGAGGAGGAGGAGGAGGAGGAGGAGGAGAAGGACGAGAAGGGGGTACGTGGGAAGGTGAGGCACGGCGCTGCTGAATCAAAACGAGGACCCAAAACCACAGGATGGTTGGGGAAAAAATGCTTGCGAGGTCCCAGCATTGATTGGCGTTAGGTCGTGCATGTCCCCCTACAGGGGGATTTTGGACGAAAAATAAAAAATGTGAAAACATTTCAAAAATAATGAAAGATAGTCCCCAGACTGTTTGTCTAATACTTTTGAATATTCAGTAGAGAGACAGGCCCGACTTAAGATTGGCGCGAACGGACCCACGGGGCTGTGGAAAATGCACGTATATCCCCACCACCATCCCAAGCGTGACACCTGTTCGCAGCGGCCATACTGTAGTCTCGGACGAGCGAGTGGCATTGGAAATCACGATCAGTCTCAATGGTTCAACGCTCTCGCCTCGGCACAAGCCACACTCTTACACCACACTGTTGCTCTCGCTCAGGCGCTGGACACTGTCTAGTGGTCCGGAAGGCGTCTGAATTCGCGGACAGGGGGGAGCACTTGATCGGCGGCCACACTAGCCTGGGTATCAGTAAACACTATCATGTAAGAATGCACCTCTTGCCGCGGTGCCAGCCACGTTCTCAAGCCAGGATTGTGCCGCTGCCAGGGTACCAGCCAGTTTAGCGTTCGAGTAGGCGTCTCGCCTCAGAAACGTCCAGCAGACTCAACCGATGTGTGCTTCCCGCCGCGGCGACGGTTGCATTATTAGGTCAGCAGGCTGCTCTGGCGTTAGCGATAGCCACATTCTTAAGCAAGAATGCGGCCATACAGGCGCCCACGCCACCAGCTGAGGATGCGGGGTCCCAGGGTCCTGCGCCGAGCGACCGCCTGGAATTCACTCAAGCCCCCTCACAAAATGTGCGCCTCCTTGGTGAGGCGATGCCATGATGTCCAGCTTAGGGAGGGCGCCCCCCCCCCACCCGTTTTGGAAACCGCTCGGGAAGCGGCGCACCCCTGGCTCGAAGGGGCGCTGTTGCCTCGCTCCTCGCACCTTCGCCGGCGAGGAATGAACCTCTCACCCGCGCGGCTGACATGTTCTGGTGTTCGGACAGGCGCTTGGTCTTAGGGCGACGAGATCTATGCATATCCACTGCTCCTGGCCAGGCCAATCCTGGGCCCAGGAGCGGTGTATACGCCCTCCTGGCCTGGCCAGGGAGGCATATACACAGCTCCTGGGCCCAGGATGGGCCTGGCCAGGAGCAGTGAATATGTATAGATCTCGTCGCCCTAGGTCTCGCAGACGGCTGGCGCAACTGACCGCCTGTCGCTCTCAGCTCGGCGCCCGCCGCCTGGTCGGGTCGGCATGGCGCTCTCGCCTGCTCGACTTCGAGTCACACTCTCAGATCGAAACGGTCTTTGTGGCTCCGACGTTGGCCGCATTCCTGCGTTCGGTCGGGCAAAGGAACTTGCAAACAGAATTACCCGCAACATGATTACCCGCTAATCCCCGTCGTAGCTGCGCTGTCCATACTCCCATGATTGTCCTGGCACCGTCAGCGTTAGATCAATATAGCGCGTTTGCCTCGGCACCCACCACGACTTCAGGTCGGAATGGCGCTCTGGCCATGGCGCCAGCCACGTTCTCATGTCGGAATGGCGCTCTCGCGCCGGCGCCCGCCACATTCTCATGTCGGAGTGGTGCTCTTGCATCGGCGACAGCGACACTGCTGTTCTCGTGTGGTGGACGTGCGAACGCTGAGCAAAGTCAGTGTCTAAAAGCTGTCGCCTGGATGGTGCTCTCGCATCGGCGCCGGCTGCAATCGTATGTGCCCGTGGCATTAGCGTAATAGCGCTCTGGCCTCGGCTTGCCACATCCTTGAGTTGGAATGTTGCTCTCGCCTCGGCGCTGCCCACACTTTCAGCCCTCAAGGTTCGGCGTCGTGACAAGAGCAGGAATCCAATGCAGATTGCTTGTTCAGATCTTCCAACATTTTTACCAAATTCCATGATGAATGCAGCGTAATATTGGAGGCCGTCTCCCCCCTTCTGGGCCTCCTTGGGCAGAGCGCGACTTCTTCGGCGCAGGGCTCTCTCTCTCTCTTTGGCGGGAGCCGCGCTCTCGAGTGGGAACGGTGCCCTCGCCCACATCTGAATCTTCGGACGGGCGGCATGGCCTCGGAATGACGTGCAAGACTGACCGCCCGCCGCTGTCGCCCCAGCGCCAGGCAAGCTTTCGAGAGACTGCCTCTCGCCTCCGCATGAACATCACTCTCTGGCGTCTGGTTGGGCGCCTTGACACCCACACAGGCAGCGGGGTGCACCGCCAGTCGCTCTCACCGCGGCGCCAGCCACGCTTCCCAGAAGAACGCAGCGCTCGCCTTGGAGCCAGCCTCACCGTCTCTGCCACCGACGTCTCGTCCTCCTCAACCTCCACCCTCGGCGCTCCACGTGCACTCCTTCGGCACGCACGCCCCCCGCGAAGGTAGGGCGGCCAGGCCTGGGCGCGCCGGGAGTGGGCGCACGCCGTCGCACGCGCGCGCGGAGCCGCGCGCCGGGACGCGCAGGACCAGCTTCTCGAGATATCCGAGGCGCGCTCGAGGACCAGCCCTCCAACAGACGGCTCTCAGCCCCCCCTCGTGATTCTCAGCGTGGCCTCAACGACGAGATCTCCGAACAGCGCGGCTGGCTGGTGTATCCCTGATGTGCTGTCCTAGCTGTCCTCTCTCAGAGACGCCTCGTTGCAACATGCCGAGGGCCGGGAACGCCCAGCAAGGACGCGAGCCGTTCCTGCTCTCCTCCTCCTCCTCCTCCTCCTCCTCCTCCTCCTCCTCCTCCCCCTCCTCCTCCTCCTCCTCCTCCGCCACCCAGGAGAACCATCGGCCGTTGCTTCCGACTCCCGCCTGCGGACTCCAGCGCGCGCCCGCCGCTCGCGGACGCGACGTGCGGCCGCGGCGCGCCCCCGTGCTGCGCTGCGTACCTCTGCAGCCCCTCCGCCAGCGCCCGCCGCTGTGCCCTCAGGCGGCGGCAGGTCCTGGCCAGCCCGGTCGCGGTCTCGTTGATCCACTCCTGGAGCTCTCCATGGGACGCACAAAGCGAAGGATTGCAACGAAGGATTGCAAAAAAAACCCTTCGAAGGGTTTTTTTTGCAATCCTTCGAAGGGTTTTTTTTGCAATCCTTCGTTCACGAGGGTTTTTTGCAATCCTTCGGCGCGCGTCCGACCCAAACATATAGCATACCCTCACTGTAGTGTATCGTTTCCCGAGCGGTGTGGCCAGAACGCGCCCGCCACGACGCGTATACTGCAAGATTCCTCGGAGCGCGCATCGCCCATGGGGGGGCGACGCACGTATAGTATAAAAATGTTGGGGTGACGCCGACTCCAGGGCCAGACTCTTGGAAAACAACTCTTGGAAGCTGTTCGTCGCCACCATGGCGCCCAACGGCGCGTCCACCAGCGCCCAACAGCGCGCGAGGCAGGCGCAACGCATCTCCCCAGCATGGCGCTATTGGGCCCCATGGGGGGTTATTCGGCGCTCTTGGGTGTTCTTCGGCGCTGCTGGGCGCGGTGCGCGCGCTATTGGGCGCTGTTGGACGCTGTTCGCCGATGTGCACTCAACGCAAGACGAGCGGAAGCGTCCGTGACGTACTTCTGGAAAAGAAGAGCCATTCCCACACCCACAAGGGAGGGGGAACCTTCGCCCCCCCCCGCCGGCCGACATGCCCCCCTAGCCGCGCCTCCTTCGGGTTTCCTGGCTACCATCCCCACATGGGGCGGGGTGCACGCTGGGAGAGCTTAGCTACCCTGTCCCAGTGGGGGTGGGGATGGCCCTGGCGATGGTGACTACCATCCAGCGACCCTGCTGGGCTGGACGGAGGGACCCGCCCTGCCCGAGCGCGCGCGGAGCCTCGGAGGGCCTCGGGCCGAGGGGCCCGGCAGCAGCTGGAGCCCCACCTCCGAGGAGGAGCCCCCCGTCCAGTCGCGTCGAGCCGAGCCTAGGGCTGCTCGTGGTGGGAGGGGAGACGAGGAGGCGACCATGACCAACAAGACCAAGCCAGGACGAGGATAAAACCGGGCGAGGATGAATCGACGATCTCTGGGACCTGGCGGCTCTGGAGGATGTCTCGGGCGCCGCGGCCTTCTCAGAGCGTTCCGGCAAACTCTCGGAGCGCTCCGGAACGCTCTGGAACGGACTTATCCTCGTCCTAGCCCCGTCCGAACCAAGACTGAGCGCGGGGACGTAGTGTCAACATTGGTCACCGTCGATCTTGGTCAGCGTCGATTCTTGGATAATCCTCGCGATCTGGCGACGGCCGACATGGACCATGACAAAGGTCGGCATCGACAAGATCCCGCGACATCTTGGTCGTGGTCCCCGTGCTTCTTTCCTCGCGCTCGGGTCCGGAGGCCGCTTCTTGAGCAGCGCCCAGCAGAGGTCACTCGTGAAGTGGTTACAATTGCGCTCAAACAGGTCCGCCGGCCCCCTCGGGGCCGCCCAGGCGAAGTTGCCAGGATGCCCCCCACAGGGACCCGATCCTGTCGGGGGCGGCACAATGAGGAGACGACGCTGGCACGAGAGCTTGAACATCGCGCGCGCTGGCGGGGGTGAGGGGGGAGGGGCGATTCTGTCGACGCGAGATCGTGTCTACCTCCTCGTCCATACCATGGGGTTGCAAAATATCGCGTATCTGTGTATTGCGCGCCTCCTGAACCAGGACTGATTATGTGAGCTTGAGGGCCCGCAACCCCAGAAACGAGGTTGCACCATCTGACAGGCCCGGAGAGTCACACAGTTGCCCGTGCTCACCCTGCTCGCCATCCTCCGAAGCATGATGCAGGATCTGAGGAGTCCCATTGCCTCTCTTGGCCCCCCTTGGCGTCGAGCATAAGGGGGAAGGGGGAGGTGGGAAGACTTCTTAAAAGAAAGCTGCTTCTTAGAAGGCACCGGCCCTACATCTGCAGACAAGGCCCGCACCTTCTAAGAAGCAAGGGTGCTTCTGATAAGCCTCGCCCCCATCCCCCTAACCCCCCTCTGCTCGTGGCCGACCCCCGTGGAACCTCCCCGGGCCGCGCTGGCACTGAAGGGGCTCCTGCCTGGCTCTGACTGAGCTGTCTTGCGCCAGCGCCGATTTTCATCACTCGGCCCTGTCCCCTACTGTCCATGGCCTGGCTCTGCGCCACCGCAGCTTTCCGTCGCTCGGCCGGCTCCACGACCGTCTCGTGCCCCAGTGCCACGTCTTGGCGGTCGCTGATCTTTTCCGTTTAGCCGTGTCCCCTGGCTGCTTCCTGCCGCACTGTTCGGCGTTGAAGCGCTGGCCCCGTGACAACGTGATTGGCTGTTGGCGATCTTTGTGATTCGAATCTTTTGACTGTGCGTCCGTGGCCTCTCGCGCCCCCTGGGACATTCCAAGAGTTGGCTCGGTTGATGTATCCCCTCCCCAGGAAGACAGCAGAGGGCCTGCCCATCATTGAGTCTAGCAGGCACTGAAAATTGCACTCGATCATTCCCTTGAAGGCACCCAATACGGAACTTGTGTCTGCTGCTTGGGGCGCGTATGCAAAATCAAGCGCGTAAGTCTTGCAGTGGGAGGGCAACAAGGACCAGAGGCCTTCAGATCATAGCGAGGACCTGCCCACTCCTTGGAAAAGGCGAGTTTCTTCACTGTCTCCATGACCCCACCATACTGCACGTTGCCCATGATGACGCGCCGATAGAAGATGAAGTCCTCATTTTGCTCAGGCGGGGTCTTGAAGACGCCGGGCTTGCCGGCCTCGTCGTGGCCCCCGAAAGCCCACTCATTGGCCCCGATCACGACGCCGCTGTGGTAGAGCCCGACCAGGCCCCCCCCGATCGCGTCCAAGAGGCCAATACCGGTGACGTCCAGCTTGTACACGGACACCCTCACCTCCACCTCCCCGAGTGGGAGGCTGGGCCCCTGGTAGAGCCCTGCCTTGCAGGCATCGTTGCCCAT